GCATGGAAAAGACAGGGTTTTACCAAAGATCCTAAGGGAAAACCCAGGAGCGCCCTTCCCAGTGAAGTTTACATCTTGTGGTCATGGAAGGCAAGCAACATTGGAGTTCTGCATAAAAATAGGGATGTGAATCCAGCCCTGGAGCACCCTGGGGGAAAACCAGCTGGCCCACGTGGTGCCCATGTGGGTGGCCCTTGCTCTGCTATAGAGGGCCCCTGGCGCCAACAAGTCCCCAGCCTTTGGGAATACCCCTGACTTCGAAGAGACATAAGCCACCAGCTCAGACTTTACTATCCCTCCTTCTCCCCCTCCTAACTCTGCTGCTGCTAGAGGCTGCTCCTAAAAGGTCAAGTCCAAGGGCCATGAAGCAGGTAGCTCAAGAAGCCGTGGTCTGCAGGGCCATACAGGGCTCCTCAAGCCCAGCACTGTGGTGGGGGTGTGAAGATGGCATTCCTGTGCCCCTGAGATACTGTATGTTTTCATCTGGGCTCTAAAGGTGGACCCTGAATAACTTAGACAGTTTGAAGGTGAGAACCACCCATGAAATGTTGGGAAATCCCATCTGTGAGGCTGGTGCTCACCCCAGGTGTGGCATCCATCCATCCATCCATCCATCCATCCATCCATCCATCCACCTTATACATCATGGGACCTTGTCATACATCATTGGCAGGACCACAAAGTCATCAATAATGAAGCAGTGTCCAGACACCAGCCTGTCCTTTTTCACTCCACTTTTCTCTGTTTCTCTGGGACCATAGTTCTTCCTTATCTGCAGTTTGGCTTTAGAATACTTCAGTTGCTTGGAATATTTTCAGCTGTCGCCTGAAAATCTTACACAGAATATCCTAGAAACACTTCATGAGTTTTAAATGGTGTGGTTTCCTGAGTAGGGTGCAGAGACTTGTGCCATCCTGCTAAATTCTCACCGTGGGTACAAACCACCCCTTTATCTGGTGTGCCCACACTGCATTTGCTGTCCATCTATTAGTCACTTAGTAACCAGTTCAGTTATTAGTTCAACTGACCTGACATCAGTGCTAGCCTTGGATTCATGCCTCCACTTCCAGGTGTCTTAGACACATCCCCGCTCCATGGGAGGGCTACTGTATTTCATTATAGCACTCCCAATGAGGAATAATCTTCGCCCCGGTGGACACTGGCAACTTCAAAGGGCCTCCTTGATTATCACCAAGCAGAAGTGCCACTGGCATCTGGCAGGACAGGGAAGCTGTTGGCATCATATGTGCACACCACAGCCTCAGTGGAGCATGGTCCCACCCAAAACAGTAAGAGATGGAAAAGAAAGATCTTGGTCTTTAAAAAAAGGGTAATGGAAATATTTTATTCCAGGAAAAAAGGGGAAGGGACTGGAAAGAAGTCTTAGTGGATAAAGGTGAATTCAAAACCCTTAGACGTGATGCTGAAGCCATTACCTAATTGTTGTGTGACTTCATATATTAAAGGACTTACCTCTACTACCTCAGAGCATGGCTGTGTTTGGAGATAAGGCCTTTAGTAAGGTGACCAAGGCAAAATGAGGTCATAAATGAGTGTCCTGATCCAGTGTGATGGGTGTCATCCCAAGAAGAGATCGGGAACCAAATAGGCACAGAAGGTTGACCATGTAAGTATGACTGAAGGGAAACTCCCAAGGCTCTCTCACCCATGTTGACTACCCCCATGATGTCCATCCTTCTCATAGGGATGGTTTCCTGAGCCCAACCCAACAGTCAGTCAGTATCTCTCAGGAAGTTCGGCACCCAGAACACTTGAGAAGCTCCAAGGTGAATCACTACTCTAAGACCAGCAGGGCACTGTCCTTTAGTGACAGAGCTTGTTCAGGTTTCCTTGTCTCTCTTCCTCCTGCAGGAACCCAAGACCTTAAAGGACACCGGGCTTCTAACGCTGTTGTCTCTCAGGTTGGCAAGGCAAGGACTAACAAAGATCCCTGTGATGGTTGGTTGTCAACTTGTCATAGTCTAAAATCACCTGAAAAGAGAGTCTTGTTGAGGATTTGTCTTGTTTTGGTTGATCTATGGTCATGTCTGTTGGGTGTTGTATTGATTGCTTTAATTGGTGTGGAACGATTCAGCCCACGGTGGTTGGCACCATTCTATGGGTTTGGATCCTGCACTGTATAAGAGCAGAGAAAGTTAGCTGAGCACTAAGCATGCATTAATTCTCCCTCTGCTCTTCATAGTGGACATGGTGTTCCTGTCTCTGAGTTCCCTGCTACGATGGACTGTAACCTGGAATTGTGAGCCAAATAAACTCTTCCTCTGCTATACTGCATTTTATACTGTGTTCATCACAGCTGCAGAAATCACACTAGAAAACCTTCTTCCTCCTACTTCAGCGCAATTGGATGTAGGGGAAGGGGGGATTTTGAGATTGAGAGAAACACACATGGGATGGTAGGAAATCCAAGAGGAAATAAAGGAATTTCCTCATCACTGTTGGAGCAAGATAAAGGTCTGGCTGGGGATAAGTATCATCATCCATTCTAGAAGAAATATTTTCTTTCAAAAGCCAAACTTGTACACATTTGAGGTTAAAAACTTGTCCTCAAGACAATCATGTTAGGGGGCAAACAGAAGAGATCCCACCAAACCAGGCATGAGCCAAGGCAGAGCCATGGTCTACAAAGCAGTGCTTTAGGGTCTATGGTAGGTCTCGCAAGATGTCTCTCTCCTCACCTGTATGTGCCTGTGTGTGTGTGTGTATGTGTGTGTGTGTGTGTGTGTGTGTGTGTGTGTGTGTGTAAGTCTGAGGTCAGTGTTAGATGCCTTCCTCAGGTCCTCTCACTGAACCTGAAGCTTTCCACACTTCAGTTAGACTGTCTTGTGAGCAAGCCCTCAGCCCCCTCCTGCCTTCACCTCCCCTGCACTGGAATCACAGACATGCTCTGTCACACCTAACTTTGATGGAGGTGCTAGGAATTGAACTGGGGTCCTCCTGTTTGTACTGCTGGCACTTTTCATCTCCCGGCTCTCCCCGCACATTCTCTATGGGATGATACAGTCCCTGAGGAGAGAAGGTAGTCCTTGAGGGTCGAGCACATTTTAGTCACCTCTCCAGCAAAGTTACGCGTTACAGTTCTAGCGTTTCTCTTCAGTGGGAAATACAACAGACCATAGATGGTTTGTTTTTCCTAGGGAGTCTTTGTGGTAAGCAGCTTCCCATTTCTGTAGCAGATGCCCTGTGATATGTCAACTTCCAGAATGAAGAGGATTGATTATTTTGGCTCATATCCCAGACGTGTCAGCCCATGACCCAGCACAAGGTAGCACATCCTGGTGGCAAAGTGTGGCAGAGCAAAGCCAGGCACCTCACCCCTGGCGTGTGAACGGAAGAGGAAGGGGCTGGCGTTCCAAGACCCCCTTAGGGGCACAGCCCTCGTAGCCTGGCCTCCTCCTACCACAAACAGTTCTGCCACCTCCAGGGACACAGTGGGCTGGGGACTAAGCCTGTACTACACAGTCACCGCAAGGGTCAGGCATGCTTTCCTAAACACTTCACATCTCCTCACGTTCCCTTCCTTCTGAACCGCAGCACGGAGCTGGGAAACATAGCAGCTCTCCCACATTGGGCATCGCAGGGTTGGGCGTCTGATGGAAGGAACATCCTACCAATCAGAAAGCAGGAGGCAGGAAGTGCAGGGGAATGGCCCACTGCCTCGCTGTTCCTCCAACATGGTGGGAACTCTGCCCCTAGCTCCAGTCACAGGCAGCCCTTGTCCTCTCTCCCTTCCCGGCCTGTGGCTTCTGCCAAGTCACAAGCCTATCGCCAGGCCCCACTGGAACACTGGTGGCTCTGCCTTGCTGATAATTAATCCCTCCTTATGCTCTCCCAGGGGGTCATGGGATGGGTCCATGGGGCACTACTCAGCTTCCACATCCCTAGGTCAGTTTTCTTGTGGTTTCTGCAGTAACTGACCAGAGGCTGAGCAGCATTTCTAAAAACCCAATTTGGGGAATGTAGAAAAGGAAGATCTTTCTCTGTTCTCAACTGTGACTCTGTGAGTTAGACTCGAAAAAGGCAGATTGACAAGAGAAAACCCAACAGCAAGGTACTGATATCTGCATCGTGGTTACACATGGAGGCACTCTGTGACAAGTAGCTCAAAGGCCAGAATTTGGACTGAGTAGCTGTGAGGGTTTACTTTAATTGTCAACTTGATGCAACCTGAATCATCTGAGAACAGAGTCACAATGAAGGATTGGCTAGCTCAGCTTGACTTATGGGCACTTCTGTTAGGAATTCTGTGGATTGCCTTGACTTATGGGCTTGACTTATGGGCACTTCTGTTAGGAATTCTGTGGATTGTCTTAATGCAGGTGGAAAGACCTGCCCACCATGGGCAGCACCATTCCCTGGGTGTGTGTCCAGGACTACGTAAACACAGAGAGGGAGCTGTGAATAGATAAGCATGCATGCATTAATTCATTGCACTCTGCTTTTGACTGTGGATGTATTATAACCAGCCACTTGAAGTTCTTCCCACCTTGATTTTCCCACAGTAATGATCTGTAACCTGGAACAAACCCTCTCTCCCCTAAGTTATGTTTTGTCAGGGTGTTTTATCACAGCAACATGAAAAAAAGAACCTAGGTGTGGTAGTTCAAATGGTAAATGTCCCCACAGATAGTCTTGAGCATTTGAACACTTAGTCCCCCACTGGTGACACTGTTTGGGGAGGTTTGGGAGGTACAGCCTTGCTGAAGGAAGTGTTCACTGAGGGCTTTCAGAGTTTATAGCCTCATACCACTTCCAGTTCTCTCTGTGTGTCTCTGTCTCTGTCTCTCTCTGTCTCTCTGTCTGTCCGTCTCTCTCTCTCTCTCTTCCTTCCTCTCCCCCCTCCTCTCTCTTTTTCAGCTTTGTGGTTAAAGATGTGATCTCTCAGTGGTCTGCTCCTGCCGCTCGACCATCCCTCCATCTTGACATAACAGAGTCCTTACCCCTCCGGAACCATAATCCAAAATCAACTCTTTGTTAAATTACCTTTGGTCATAACGTTTTATCACAGCAACATAAAAGTTACTAATACATAAGACAACAACATCGTCACTGAACGACAGTCCATCCTATAAAGCAGCAGCCAGACAAAGGAGGGACCTGTGAGTCCCCAGAAGTGGCAAGCCACAGGAGATAGATACATGGAAAATGTCATGGTAGAGCAGGGTGGTAAGAGCTGTGGTCAGACTCCTCTGATGTCACAGGCTGATATGTGTCTATCATCATCTCCTGATGAATTTCTAGCCCTCCTCACAGAAGAGGTGGAAACACATTCACAAATCCATGCCCTGCCAGTAGACAAGTCAGTGGAGGGCAGACAAAAAGCTTCATTGTATCAGTTTTTTCTCAGTTACAATAATCCTGATGCTAAAGTAGCATGATTTGGGGTAGGAAATTCTGCCATCCATTCTGGGCATTCCAAGACCATATAGATACGTTCGTCAGCTGTTAGTATAGCAAAACCCCGAGACAGTGAACTTAAAGATGAAGCATTTGTTTTAGCTCACAGCTTGGAAGGTTTGTGTTCAGTTGGCTCACTGCTTAAGGGTTGCAGAGCACACATTGGAGAAAATGGTTTACCTCTTGAAGGTTGTACAGCAACATAAAAGGGAAGTTCCTGGAGTCCCACAGTCTCCTTCAAGGTCATATCAACTCAGTGAATTAAAACCTCACACCAAGCCCCATCCCGAAAAGATTCACCACCTCCCAATAGCACCACACGCTGGAAACCAAGCCTTCAACACACAAGTGCATGGCGAACATTCTAGAAACAGACTATATCATCAGGAGACTTGCCATCCCTGGTCCTTAATTTAAAGTGACAAGACTCTTTTGGTGTAAAATGCAGCACATTCATACATTTGGCATATCTATACCCCAGGCTCCAGGGATTTCAAGCAGTGAAGGGCAGGAGCATTAATCAGGGCCCTGTGCCTTGCAGCAGAATTCCAGTTCCAGAGCCCTTCCCAGTCAGCCTAGAGGGCAACAGCATCATTAGTAGACAGAACAGTAAACTTGGGTCTCAGCTCAGCTTGTGTATGGGTCCTCCATTGAACCTCAACTGCAAAGCATGCCCTGGATGCTTCCTGAAGGGGGTGTTTATTGCTGAGGAAAACCTTGGATTAAAGGGCTAAAGACATATGGTGTGGGTGGGGTTACCCGTAAGAGATGTTACCCTAAGCTGGCCACAAGGCAACAAGCAAGCAGTGTGCAAGCTGCCGCCGGGCTTGGGAAACCCCAGAGAACATGCCATGGGCCAGCCCCCGCCGTCCTGCTGACGTTTTTATCAAACTCTCTCTGCGCGGAGGTCGCTATCCTGTGCCTGCAGCAGCCACCTCGGAGAGTGTGGTGACTGTGCACACTCAGAGTAGATTTTACGTTAACTCATTTCCCCTCCCACCCAGAAGATTCTTTCTGCTCTAAAAGCATGCTTTTAAAGAAATTGCCACCAAATAGTCACAGCGAACTTGAATACTAACAAAACACATCATTAACTGTGTATACAACTTCCTCCCAGGACATTCTGTCCAGATGTGGGAGATGGTGAGAGCAGTTATTTACGGACCACCCTCCTCACTGCCTCCACTCACCCCCCACTTTATTAAATTGCCCCCAGGCAAAGAAATCAAAGCAGATTCTTTTTCTTCGGTTCAGCGAAGCTAATTAGTCAATAGCTGGTTCTGAAAGTGGAGCCGTGAAGTAAGACACTTCTTCACCTTTCCTGTTGTGTTTTTACTTTCATTGTTGAGGTAACAAAACCAAGTTCAGGAAGGGAGGGTTTACTCTGGCTCGTGCCCCACAGGCACCGTCCATCAGGGCGAGAGCCTGAGGCAGCGGGTCACACTGCATCTGTAGCCGGGAAGCAGGTTGCTAGTGCTCAGCTCACTTTCTCCTTTTTATACAGTTCAGAACGCCAGGTGATGGGATGGTGACACCAGCATTCAGGATGTCTTCCCTCCTCAAGTAAACCTCCCTGGATGTATCTTCACAGACATGCCCAGAGGCGTTTCTCCTAGGTGATGCCAAATCCAGCTGAGTACAGTCAAGACTGACCAGAGTTTCCAGTGGTCCAAGTTGGTTACTCCAGAGTGATGTCTCCTGCCCGGAGGAACAGACACATTCAGAGGAACCTCCTAGTGGGCACAGCCCACCCCCACCTGCATGCTTCATCACACATGGCACGGCTTTCTGAGCATTGAGTGCCGGGTGCTGAAGCATGTCCCCCTGACGTATTGAGGTTATAACTCCTCATACCTGTAAACACTTAGGATGAGGTCACATGGACCCTAATCCGATGACAGCTATCCTTTCAAAAAGAGAAAAATTGAGACACGAGCAGGCACAGAAGCGAGATGCTATGGAAGGGTTTCCTACAAGGCCAGGACAATGTGCTGGCTGGTCTTACATCAACTTGATACACAAACTAGAGTTATGTGAAAGGAGGGACTTGCTAGCCAGCTAGTCTACTCTAATCAACAAGCCCTGGATCTCAATGAGAGACCCTGTCTCAAAAACACAATATGGAAAGCTTCTGAGGAAGGTCACTTGACTTCCCCATACATGTGCACACATGTACACCCACAGGAACACACACCTAGATACATACACATATAGAAACACATGCATGCACACACATACACACTCACTCATGCGAGCATGCACACAAAAGTCAAGCATAGAAAACTAGACCATACACAAATCATTGCCCTCAATTTCCTTGGCAGGTGCCATTTCCCAAGAGCCCCTAGAGTAGGCCACCAGCTCCAGAGTCCTCTTGACAGACTTGCATCAAGAGCAGCCACCCCACAGACAGAACCTTCCAGAAAACTTCAGTGCTCCCCAGACCTAAGATCTTAGCAGAAATGTGCAAAACAAAAACAAGCAGATCCCAGTTTCCAGCTAAGCCTGGGGAGCCTTTGTTGAGACAGATCAAAGCTCTCAGACTCTTTCTGTGGCTGTGTTTACCAGATGTGGGATTTCTAAGTCCCTTGAAGCAAAGAGGTGCAAGGAGACTCCTTCAGCACTTGACAGGTTGCTGTCAAAGGTGGCCTTGAGGTTCTGCACTGACCTGACTGCCTCTGGTGGAAACAGCATGGAGACACAAAAGGCTCTCCTGTGATGTCACAAACTTGGTGAGTTCTAGGCCAGTGAGAGACCCTTTCTCAAAACACAAGGTGGGCCAGATGTGATGGTGCATGTCTATAAACCCAACACTCAGGAGACAGGGGCAGGTGGGTCTCTGTGAGTTCAAGACTGGCCTGGTTTACATAGCAAGTTCTAGGCCAGCTGGGGCTGCATAGACAGACTCTATCTCAAAAGTCCAAGACCAGAAAAACCAACCAAATAAACAAACAAAAAACAAGATGGATTGCACCTAAGGAATAGCACCCAAGGTTGACATGGGTGGACACACATATGTGTGTACCTGCACACTCATGACCCCCCTGTTAATTACTCTTTTGCTCTTTTGGGGGGCCCGTCACTCAACTCCCAAATAAGTCACACATGGAGGCTTATTCTTAATTATAAATGCTTGGCCTTAGCTTGGCTTATTGCTAGCCAGTTTTTCTGAACTTTAAATTAACCTGTCTGGGATGGCTGGCCTATGGACGCTACAGACCTTCCCACTTCTGCTTCCCAGTGCTGGAAATACAAGCATGTGCCACCATGTCCCCGTTTCAATGTGGGTTCTAGGGTGGAATTCAGGTCTTTGTGCTTTCCAAGGAATCACTTTGCCAACAGCTAGCTCTGTAGCCCAATATTCTTATTCTTAATAAACCCCTCCTCTTCTCCTGCCTGCTCCTCGGTTTCCACCCCAGCCTGATTTCAGATGTAAGTTTAAGGGTTGTGTGGTTGAATAGGAATGGCCCCATAAGCTCATATATTTGCATGTTTGGTCATTAGGGGGTGGAGCTCCTTGACAGAGATTAGGAGGCATGGCCTTATTGGGATGGGTGAGGCCTTGTTGGTGGACTTAGGTCACTGGGGGTGGGTTTTGAGGTTTCAAAGGCTCAAACAGGCCTTCTCTCTTCCTGCTGCCTTTGGATTCAGAAGTAGAACTCTCAGCTACCATGTCTGCCTGTATGCCACCACGCTCCCCACCATGAGAATGATGGACTAAACCTCTGGAACTGTGAGCCAGCCCCAATTAAATGCTTTCTTTCATAAGAGTTACCATGGTCATGGTGTCTCTTCACAGCAATAGAACACTGAATAAAACGAAGTGCGAAGACCCTCTTAGGATTTTGCTAACTCCAGCAAGTTGTATCCTGTCCCAGCTCCTCCCCTCTATGTTCTTTATTTTTATACAGAATAGCACACAACACATATGTATATAGATGTTGCCATGGTTAACCTTCATTATCAACTTTACCGTATTTAGAATCACCATGGAAACGCCTCTCTGAGCACATCTGTGAGCGATTTCCTAGATTTGGTTTATTGACGGGACTGGGGTCTCAGCCTGAATACAGGGGAGAAAGTGAGCCGAGCACCAGCATTCATCACTCTCTGCTTCCTGAGTGTGGGTGCAACATGACTTCCCTGCCGTGAGGGACTGCATACCCTCAAACTGTGGGTCAAAATAAGCCCTTAAATTGCTTCTTGTCAGGTATTTGGTCCCAGCAACAATAAAAGTAACTAACACGAAAGCATTGCAGCTACAATGGAAAGGGATCCTGGCAGTCGGAAGGCAAGGAGTACCATAAAGTCACCGTAAGCGCAGCAGCTTGCAGCCCTGCTCAGGGAAAGGTTTCCTAATACAACAACTCTGCCCTGGCAGAGGAGGGTTTTCCCAGAGAAACTGTTACAGTTCTGTTCAGGTCCCCAGTGTGTAACAACTCTGCTCCACCAGGGAGATTTCCCCAGTGAAAGTGTTACAGTCTGGTCTGCTCCACTCCGTTCTAGTGAAAGATGTTACTTCTCTGCTGTGCCCATTCCTGCGAAAGAAGGTCTTGCCCAAACCTCATTCAAGAGAGTTATTAGGAGGGAAGAATCCAGGAGGGTGGCTGCCTCTGCCAGGGTGGGAAAAGGCAGGAGCAAACTGAACAGGCACAGAGCTTATATAGGGCTTTTTAGGGGCAGAGTTTTTCCAGGGTGAAGATTTCCAGGATGGGAATTAGTCAGATTTCAATCCCTGAGCTTGGACAAGCTCAGAGATTGGCTAGATTTTGTGCTCAGAGATTGGCTGGTTTCACGTTCAGGGATTGGTTGGTTTTCCTGCTCAGGGATTGGTTGGTTTTTGTATTGAGTTGGTCAGGGACAGAGTGTTTCTTCGGCTCCAGTTTTAGGGCCAAAGTGTGTTTCTTTCACTGGCTCTGGTTTCAGGGCCAAAGTGTGTTTCTTTGGCTTTGGTTTCAGGGCCAAGGTGTGTTTCTTTGGCTCTGGTTTCAGGGTCAGGGTGTGTTTCTTTGACTTTGGTTTCAGGGACAGACTGTGTTTCTTTGGCTCTGGTTTCGGGGTCAGGGTGTGTTTCTTTGGCTGACCCCTTTACCCTACAATACATATATATATGTATCCCCAAAGCAAAACTCTAGTCACGTTTTCTATCTGAAGGAAAGTTTAGCATGTGTCTCCTGGATTGCTTCCGCCACTCTGCCAGGATCCACAGTGGTTAAGACTTCCCCATAACTTTCCCCAGAGCAGATTCAGCCTCTGAGATGTACCGGCTCCATCCATGGCATGGCTGTAAGGATGACCCAGGTGACATCCATTTGTATTCAGCCCACTGTTTCTAGAGGCTTAGAAAGAACTTCCATCCCAACGTTGTCAGCTGACCTTGACCTCTCTCCAGACAGAATCTGATTTAAGTTTCACAGATTTATGGTCATCACGGCAGGCTCTTACTTCAGGCTTCTCTGGCCTTCTGGGGAGCCATGACAGGCTGACCCTCTGAGTATAAGTTCCTAAGGCATGTGTGGCACCAGAGGGTGGTTCCTTGAAGTATCAGGTCTGCGTCTACCCTACTTAAAAGGTAGCTGGCATGGCCAGGAGGAGGAGACAGGACACCCCCACTCAAGGAGAGGGCAAGTGGGCAAGTGTTTCTTCCCAGGGACAGAGTTCACACCAGTGTGGGAAGCAGTGAGTTAACAAATCCAGGTTCCTCATGGATCTGGATAGGACTCTGTAGGACCAAGGCATGGCCAGACTCAGTCTGAAAGCTGCTCCATGTAGTCAAGGGCTCTGCTTTTACAGGGAACCCTGGAACAAGTGGGCAGACACACACACACAAGCCAACTGCCCTGGGTTATCAGGCTTCACATTTATACACACATTTATACACACACTTCACATAGCACATCCAAGCCCTCACAGCCACCCTCATTATGAAGTGGGGGCTATTTCCAACTTATCCCATTGCACAGATGAGTGAAGTAGAGACTCCGAGGGAAACATGCTGCTGAAGTCTCTTAGCCGAGACACCAGCTCAGGGGTAGCAGAACTGAGATTGTCACTTCACTATCACACCACCCCCAAAAGGGAGGTTGGGGATACACTCTGAGTCTATGTTAATCCTAAAGCTACCTCAGAATGACCCCGTGTTTCTGTTCATTTGAAAGGCTTTGGTCTTTCTACTTCAAGAGTAAGGAGGTGGGTGGAAAGCGACTGTGGCCGAGAGACACATTCACTCGTGATAGTGTAACTTCAGATGCACACTCATGTCCTTGTTGTAACGCAGGAAATACAGAAGGAAGAGAAGGGACTGTGTCAGCCCAGCTGCTGTCCACACAGAGGTGGACACAGGTAGGTGTTCGTCAAGGTTCAAGACCTGACGTAAGGAGCATGCGCCCCCCCCGCCCCCCGAAGGCTCCTCTGCATTGCGGACACAGAGAACAACCTGTGTGACAGCACACAGCAGCCCTGTGAAGGGAGAGCAAGCCTTGGGCTGGGCACCACGAGCTGAGGCACCACGAGCTGAGGCACCACGAGCTGAGGGCACCACAAGCTGAGGGCACCACGAGCTGAGGGCACCACGAGCTGAGGGCACCACGAGCTGAGGGCACTGTGAGCTGAGGGCACCACGAGCTGAGAGCAACACGAGCTGAGGCACCGTGAGCTGAGGGCACCACGAGCTGAGGCAGGTTGGCTTAGCTGCAGTTGGAGGGGGGTGGTTTTGCTTTGCTTAATTTTGGCAAAATGTCTCTTCACAGGCTCAGAGCAGAGGTGAGCGGAGGGAGAGTCACAATCAGCCCAGAGCTAAAAACAGAGTTGCCAAAGAAAACAGCTTTAAAAGAAAAAAAAGACACCAACAGCACAAGAAGTGCTCTCCCTGTCTGCCATCTGTCTGTCTGTCTTATTCAGTTTTGTTCTTCTCTCCCTTCCTCAATCTCCATCTCTGCCTCTCTCTGTATCTGTCTCTCCCTCTGTGGATATCTGTTTCTCCCTCTCCCTCTCCCTCCCCCCCCCCCCATCTCTCTGTTGGTATCTCTCTCAGTCTCTGTTTGTCTCATTCTCCTTTTGATCCTCTCTCTTCCTCTCTCTCATTCTCCCTCTGCTGGTATCGCTCTCAATCTGCTTTCCCCGGCACATTCTATTCAAATTCACAGCCATGAAAACATGTTGTACTCACGCAGATGATGTCTCAAAACCTCGGAGGACTTAGAGCAAGAACTCCATTCACACACAGGCCTGAAAACCCCTGATTGGCCCTGGATGCTGTTGCCCCGGCAACATGACTCAAAGCTTCCTGCCTCACACCCCCACACCACCCCCACTCCCCCCGCTCAGCATCAGCTTCATTACTCTCAGCGACACCACAGGTTATTAAAGCTGCTTAATGAACTCAGTTCTGACACAGTGCTCTTCCTCACTGTCACCCAGTATGCAGGCAGCTGAATGTGCCACCTCTCAGGACAGCCTGTGACCCTTGCTGGTTCGTTCTCACCCTTTGGACCATTTGAAAATTAGGTCCAAATAGCACTTGGTGAAACTCTAAGGGAGGAACCAGAAGCTGCCCACATCATCTTCTGAAGGGATGATGAGAGTCCCTTTATCTCCCAGGGCACATGAATTTAATGTGAATAATGATATCATCTGCAACCAGGAAGAAAGTTGACTCAATCCATTGGGGTTGCTGTAACAAAATGCCTTAGTCTGAGAGGCTTATAAATAACAGAAATGTATCTCTTTCCATTCTGGAGGCCGGAAGTCTGAGGCAGAGTCACCAGGAGATTCTGAATCTTCTGGGACTCACTTCCTGGTAGATGTGGGTTCTTACCTTGAGCTCACATAGAGGAAGGGCAAGAGGTCATGGGGCCTCTCTTACAATGGATCTAACTTCATTCCCGAGGGATCCCCCTTGGTGACCTACTCACCTCCCAGAGATCTAACCATCACCTTGAACACAGGCCTTCAACCCCAGCGCTGGGCTGAGAAGGGACATGCATTGAGACCACCTGCCAAACTGTCCATTGCTGGACATTTCTGGGGAGAATACAGACTGTGGACCAAAGTTCCTGGTGCTGAAAAGAAAACCCATCTTCCCAACCCTCATCCTGGAGGACAGAAGGAAAAGGGGGAAAGCAAGGGAGATGGGCTTGCTCAGACACAGGCGGAGGCTCTCAGCTTGTTCTGGGAACCCAAGTGGGGGAAATTATGTCTTTCTTTCCAACAGCACCTGATGGTATTCCCTCCATGGGACATGCAGGCCGTGGTCCCAGGGACACACTGCCGGTCCTATGGCCTGGACACCAACGCCATCTGTCCCTTTGCACCATGAACGCCCTATGTCATATGCTGTTTTCATGGCCAAGCACTCAGTAGCCACTTACCTTCTGTACTTTGCCTCCGTTAACTGCTGCCCACTACAAAAAGAAGCTTCACCTGTGAGAGCCACGCTAGTCTGGAGTATAAAGGTAAGTATTTAGACGTACAGCCATTAAGACCCCAGGGGCAGTAGATTCTCCCCTAGGGCCTACACCCACTCCAGCCCTAGGGTCTTGGCCAGGTGAACAGTACCATGCATGCTGTGGAAAGAACTTTAAATCCAATCAGAAAGCAATTGGCTATTCCCATAGCATTCATAGGCATAGTAACCTCTGACTTCTAGGTAACACTTACTTTGATAACTGTATTTCAACTTGCATAGTTTCCTTTAACCTATATGCATCTTTCCTGCCCTTGAACAACCTTTTTCTGAAAAATGGTATGCAGCTTTCATAAGGTGCCAGGAGTGAAATTTACTGTCATTATGTCCACTATTATCCACATTTCCACTCTCAGAGCTCAGTCACTGGCACCTCATTAATGCAGATGGAAGAGAGACTCTGCCAGCACAGTGGGATAATCCCTTTTTAAGAAAAACCAACCCGAGTTGGCTGGGTGGGTCTCCAAACTTAAAAGCAAGGCACTGTCTCAGAGGCAGAAGGGAAGTTGAAGACGGTCCAAGAACGAAAGGCATTCACAGGCCCATTCTGGCTCTGATAGGCCAAGGCCATGAGCAAGGACGGAGCCAGCAAGAGGCTTCGGGGTGAGGCCACCAGACAGATGGTAAGATCGTGGGGCCTCCGTTCACAACCCTGGGAACTGCACTCTGATAACGACCAGAAAAACTTAAATGCATCTTCTCCAAGCCTCCTGGTAGGAGCTCAGCTGGTCAGCTCCATGATTTCAGTTCATGAGACCCAAAGCAGAGCCCCCGCTGAGCCATGCTGGCCAGCCAAGTTACAGGCCTGTGAGAAGATGGGTGTCATGGGGGGTGATAAGTGACCCGACCCTTTGCTCATCCTGGGGTTCCAGCATATGGCTCTGAGGATCTGTGTAGCCTACCCGACCTCCATAGCTTGTCCCAAACTATCCGTATCTTACTCCCAGCAGAATGGGCTCTGTATTTTACTTGAGCTCCCACACATCCCTTTCCTAAGGTCTGTGGACCCCCACACATGGACCCCAGCATCACTTCTTCCCTCGGCTCCTCTGGGCTGTATTCGCTCTTTAGTGAGGCCAGCTGTTACCACTCTTCACTGGGACCTGTGTTCTCTGCTTAGTACTCACACTTACTGACTTATTATCTAGTCTATTGAACCAGTGGTTCTCAGATGATAATGTTATTCTTGTCTGCATCTAGGGACAGTGGGAAATGCCTGGGACATCTCTGACTCCACCCAGAGATGGTGCTACCATCCAAGGGTAAGGATGAAGGATACTATGGCATTTTCAACAGTCCCCTCACACTAAACCATGGCCCACCCCAAAGTGCCATGCTCCTAAACCACTAACTCCATAAGAACAGGGATTTCCTTTGCACCACTGTGTCCTGGTGACTGGAATAGAGCCTGGCACCTAGTAGATGCTCCCTGGGTATGTCTGACTGGGTGAACACATGAGTGATGTTGCTTCGTGACTGAGGGTGTACCTGTCTGCCCATCCACACTGGTTTCCCAGTAATCACCTGTTATCTAACCTTCCGAGACCCATGTCAGCTTCTCTTCTGTGCTTATCCTTATATCCTCACCGCCATCATGTGCTCCTGGATTCCTCTAGCATCCTCCACCCACTTCTGTGATGACCAGGTGTGTGCTGTGGGAAGTAGGGGTCTATGCATAGCCGCCTCAGAAAGGAGACAAAAGAGGCCGAGGCAGGCTCTGTCCTCTCCCCTCCAACCAGCCTCCCTTTCCTTCCAAGCTCACCTGATTTTCACCCAGATTCCAGAGCTCCAAAACTGGATGTGAGCCATAGGAGCTCTGCTCTTGGTTGGTGACGAGGGCTCACATTTTATTCATTCAGACTTGCCTTATGAAGTAAGTGAATGGAACAGCCCCGCAGTCACCACAAATAAACCCAGACCGCCTAGGAGCCTGCTGAGCTGTGAACCACAGGAAGAGGAGAGAAACATGAAAGGATGGTTCCCGGAGAAGACTTCCTCCCAGAACCTAATGTTCTGGAAAAATCTTCCTAATTAGTCATTAATTGGTACATTATCAGCACCATGTGCCAAGGATTAAGTGAGTAATTCCCATGATTGCTAGAGAGCAGAGTAATGCATCTCACCAGCCAGGCAGCGGGGATAGCTCTCCCTAACTCCCTAATTGCCACAGCCTGAGGCCCCCACAGCCTTCGTCTACCTGTCCAGTCCCCAGCACAGAAAAGCCTTCCCATTCTGCAGGCTGCTTTCCCTCCGGCCTCTGGGTGTGCTCATGTTGAATACAGGTCTTACCTCTTAAAGGAGGCTATATTATTGTCTCAGCCTATGTATCCCACTTGGCCACTTTGTTTGGTACCTCTTAGCCGTTCCTGTAGAACACCGCAGGTAATTTTAGCAGTTCCAATTGGTTCTGTAACAAAACTTATTTTAAACGACTATGATTCATGCCTTAATCACAGAGTTTATTGCACTGCCATTACCAAGAAATCCCTAGACTTTATTCTCCACTAAAAATAATTAAGGCATCTTCAAAGTCCAACCCTATGTATTGGTCAGAACTTTCTGTATTATCAAGATGGCTACAGACAAGGGAATTGTTAGGAGAGGTGGGGAGGAAAGGAAGGGGAGAGGGGGGAAGGAAGAAGGGAGAGAGAGAGGGAGGGAGGGAGACTATGGAATCAAAAGTCTTTGAGTGTGTGCACACATTCCCACACACACGGGGGTGTGCACATGTGCACATGGGTATGCATACATGGTATGCATGTGTAGAGGCCAGAGGTTAATATTGGGTATCTTTCTCAATAACTCCCCCTTGTGTTTCAAGACAAGGTCTTGAAACTGGCCTGGAATTTGCTGGTTTGGCTAAACTAACTGGCCAGTACTCCCCCGAGATCCTCTTGTCCCCATCTCCCCAGAGCGGGGGTTACAGGTGTGTTCTATAGCTTTACATGGGTGCTAAGGATCTGAACTCAGTTCTTCCTGCTTATATGGCAAGCACTTTGCCCACTGGGCTCCCTCTCAGCCCCTCAGAAGTCGTGGGCGTACATGCCAGCTCCATGAACTACTGGCTCAGTCAGAAGTTCCTGTGGTCGTTTGAAAGCCAATGCCTCCCATGGGCTCGTGTATTTGAAAGTTTGGTTCCCCGGCTGATGCAGTTTGAGGGAGGTTATGGAACCTTTAGAAGCCTTGCTGGAGGAGGTATGTCACCATGGGCGGGCTTTGACGGTTCACAGCCTGGCCTGCTTCCCATGCTCACTCCCTCTTTGCTTCCTTTGTGTAGCTGAGACATGATCTCTCAACTCATTACCCTCAACTACCCGCTGACTCCCCTTCTTGCCATTATGGACTCTCCCGTTGGAACCACAAGCAAACATAAAAATAAAAAAAATAAAAAACAGCAACAAAAACAACCTCTGAAGTTGATTGTGGTGGATTTTGGTCGTCTGTTTTATCACGGCAACAAAAAAGTGACTAATACAGAGACTCAGGCTCTCTGGGGCAGTGCTCTCTTTCGTCAGGGGGAGATGCTGGGACTACACGGGGATCTCTGTCTCCAGGGTAGAGGATGAATGGCAAAGGGGGTTGGGGCTGTGATGAGGAGGGGTATAATAAGCAGGTACAGCAAGCACTCCTGCAAGCACATCAGGAGATGCTCGGATACAGAGCCTCACCACAGGTCTGTTATGTCTAGTGATATCCAGCCACGAGAGAGAAGAGGCAGAGAGTGGGTGCAAAGAGCTGTGGGTGGAAAGAATATTTGGATCAGAGGATTTTGGAGTCACTTAG